ACATCATATGGACCTTCACTAATAATAAACCACAATTCAATATCAATAGATTGCAAAAAGATAATCATTCTTTCTTTCCAACTCACATAATTTGACCCATTAAACATAGGTGGTCTAATCACAGAATGTCCTTAAAAATCATAGCATTATTGGTTGTCATTTTTACTCCCAAGCCGATTGAGCTTAATCTCTAGGAGACCAAGCTCTGATACCAATTGTAAGAATCGAAAACAACCAAGTGAAATACATAAACAATGCAAAGATTACAAATGTAATAGTAAATAAATAAAAAGGAAAGGATTGCAAACCAATTAACTACCCAACTCCTCTTGAGCTTGTAGATTAATTGAAACAAGCTACTTCAAGTTGATAAATTACAATCACTCTTGTGTACAAAGGAAGGTTCACCTCCTCTTTGCCCCGAACTCCATTCGGTCAAGCCAGGAATTTTTACTATCCCTCAGGACAACCCTCACAGAGCTACACTCATGAAGTATTCACTCACAAATGAAAAGCTTACAAAGAACCTCACACCACTAAGACTACAAATATTCTTTGAAGGGTATTTTCTCACTAAAATCTCTCTAGATCTTTTGTATCTTCAGTGTGCCAAAATTGTTTGAAGTGTCTGACCAACCACTATTTATATAGGACCAATAAAGTGCCTCATTAATGCTTCCAACGGATAGAAAATAGCTGAATAGTCAACTAGCCGTTGGTAGTGTCGGACGTCCGATAGCCCTGTTTTATGCGTCCGACAGCAGGCAGTGAGTTTGAGAAATTTTCTTCAATTCTTTCGGACGTTCGGTAGGTTGGTTTTCTGCGTCCGAAGGTATGATGTAAAACTGGAAAATTTTCTTCAATTCTTTCGGACGTCCGGTAGGCTGGTTTTCTGCGTCCGAAGTGACGCAATAATTATCGGACGTCCGATCCTGACTTCTTGAGCGTCCGACAGCTTCAGCATACTTTGTCCCCTTTCAATTGCACTTGTTCATGGAATCAAATAATTTCAAAACTGAAAGCATATCTTGAAAAAATATTAATATTATCCATTTGTTTTATAAACATCAAAAGATAGGGATCAAGATCAACATAGTTATACACATGTTATTCAATAGATATATATAGGGGTTTTAAACTAATAATTTTGTTTGAAACTCATATATATATTTACATGATTTCACCATTTGAACCTATTCAATATTTGTGACATTTCTCTTTTGATAATAATTTATTTATTGAGTTGTATAATAAGGTTATCTAATTAATAGATCCTAACTCGAATTCTATAATTGTGCTAACAAATTTTAGTTTAAATGTGAAATTTCTATTCGACACTTTCAAGACCAATAGTTGAATTACTTACCTTGTGATTGTGTTAAAATTTGAAAGTGCCAATCACTTATTTCTTTTTGTCATACTTTTCTTTTATTTACTTTTTCTATCCAAATTTAATTCGATATAAAAACTCGATAATATTTAGAATTAAATGTCTTCTTTATTTTTAAATTTCGAATAAAAGAAAATGAATACAAGTGAAAAACTAACAATTTTTTTAAACCAATGTATATATCTATTTGATTTCACTTGAGCAATACGAATAGTGTGTAATATATCTCTATTTGATTTCACATGCTATTCGTACTATTTAGGTGAAATCAAATAAATATATACATGGATTTAAAAAAAATTATTCATGCATATGATTAATAATAGATGAAAAAATTCATTTGAAAAATGTGAAAGACGAAAAAATTTATTTTATGAAATGTGAGGGATTATGAATCGAATTATATAAAATTTGATTTGACAAATTTGCCCTTAAAATATGATTACGTGCAAGGTACGTGGTGAATTCCGATAAAAAACTAGTCGAAAATTTAAATAGAAACCAAATTTAACCAATGTGAATTTGTAAGGGACGTAAACTTACATTTTTAAAAGCGAGGGACAAAAAAAATATTTTGCAAAATGTGAGAGATGTTTTGAACGATTTTCCCTCATTTAAAATATCAAATCTGTGAATGTGTTTTAATTGTTATCCATTGGTATCATAAAGTATCATTTTTTCATCAAATACCAGTTCTTTAACACTCATTTTTTCATAAACAAATTTATTTATCGGATAAAATAAAAATATATCCGTTTTTCAATAAATAGCTATTTTCAATAAATAGCTGGTATTTTATTGAAAAACGGATTTATTTTTTTTTATCCGACAAATAAATTGTTTATGGGAAATAGGTATTCTGTTCTTATAATAGAGGAAAGTCATAAAGAGTTGTGTTTTATGATACCAAGTTACTTCAAGTTGATAAATTACAATCACTCTTGTGTACAAAGGAAGGTTCACCTCCTCTTTGCCCCGAACTCCACTCGGTCAAGCCAGGACATTTTACTATCCCTCAGGACAACCCTCACAGAGCTACACTCTTAAATTTATGGCTTTCCATGGTGGACTGGTAAGAAAGCCGTGAAGAGTTGGTATTTTTATTAATGAAAATTTTTCCCATAAATGGTCTGCTCTTTATGGCTTTCCTTCATTATATGATCAAAGTACCATACTTTTTTATATCTATCACAAATTCACATATTGTGACTGTGAAATAAAAATTTTTCGAGATCGTATTTTCATTAATTAGTCTTTTTTTTCGTACTATCGGTAGTTTGAATGAAAAATTTAGTTGTATGGTATTTGGGAGCAACTTCTAAAGTAACTATATAATCCTAATAATTTTTATAATTGCTTAGTATATTTATGTCATGGGTATATATTATTGTTATATTGTTATTAATTTTATTAAATTGTTTGGTATATTAGGTGCAGAAAATTATAATTTCACAATTTTTTAAATGTAATAAAGCGGTGGGGAAACAATGCACAGTGAACGGAAGAATTGGAGGGGAAAAAAAGCTGCATCCGGACATGTCTTGTTTGGTTTATCTCCACACGTGTTACCACTGCAACATAATGGTTCGTGAATTCTTCATTTTATAAATACACGTGTCATTCTCTGGGAGCTGCCTATGATAGGAATTTCCTATCATAAAGGTATCCGAATTTCCACTCCATGATTGCCTTTCTTGTCTGCTTATTGTACTTGGAAAGGATGCAAACAAGTGAATTTACTGTTGATTAGGCAGTCCTTGTTACCCTAAAAATCAGGGATTTTTGCCCAAAAAAGTGCTCCATTCTTTGATTCACCTCACTCATTGGGTTGTACTATTTCCTTCAGTCACAAAATCCTGTTTAGATGAGATGTTTGCTTTTGTCCCTAAAAAGTCTTTGACTTATTTTTCTGCCTTTAGATGTATTTTAATTGTACCCTCCGAATTTTATCACCATCTGATTGAAGCAAAAGTTTTCCAAATTTTCAGACGGGAGTTGTTAGGATTTTGGTGCTGAAATTCAGTGAATATATTGACCATTTTAGTGAAAAAAAAAAAGACGAGAAATAGCCCATTTCCTTTCATTCTCCCTCTTTATTTCTCACGTATATACACAAGAAAAAGGAGACACAGAGAGGCCAAGATGCAGACAACAAGGAATTGTTTCTATTTTTCTCTACCGAGTTGCCAAGAAGCAGACAACAAGGAATTGTTTCTATTAATTTCTACGAGTGGTATGAATCTTTTTTCTACTTTTCCTTTGGTTTTTTTCCTTTTTAGTCTTGAAGTCATAGGTATTTTAATGCTGATGTTCTGTATTGTTCTTAGCTATTATGTACAAAATTTATAATCAAGAATTATAAGCGAAGTTAACAATTACTCCATTCGGGTATGTTACAGACTGATCTAATACTTGCTTTTTAATGGTTCGATTATTGGTTTCTGACAGTGATCTTATGGTTGGTTTTGCCTGGTTTTCTTTTGGACGATGCTATGATGCTTTGCTGCTATGTGATATAGCTTTTTGCTAGATAATGCTTAGTTTGGATTGTGGAATATAATAAAGGGCTACTTTCCTGAGTATATTGTTGTGTTTTCTTCACTGTGTGTAGTTGGTAATGTATAATCATCTTTTTAGTTATCTGCTTTCTTTGTGAGAATGAAAATAGAAAGAAAATCAACTACAAGGGCTGATATGTTTGATGGCATGTTTAATGAGGCATGTACTAAAAGTCAATTTATTCAAAGCAAAAGAGCATGCATTGCTATGCCTATATAGTTTATGGAGATGAATCTTCACTCTTTAATGTCTCTAAACCATGCATAGGAATATTGAGCTCTAAAATGGAAAAGAAACATGTTAGTTACTCGTTTATGGAACCACAAATAACAAGTAACTGTGTTGGTAGTAATCCTCAATAAGCAAGAAGAAATTGTATGGAGGTAAATGGTGTTGCGGCAGCAGATAGCAGATTGAACTCTTTTGTGGGATTTACTTTAACAAATTCTCACTTAGTAAATTCCTTTAGTTGTGATTTTAATGTAGAGAATGAGATTCAACGTCTGCACATTGCTTCTAATCATGATAAAGAAACCAGAGTTTCTTGTCATAAGCAAGCTTCCAAGTAACTCAATGTGATCAAAAGGATATCTGTCTAAATGCACTACACTCGTATATGATGAGTTCTTGCAAATTTGTCCCACTCCATAGGTGAAGAGTCTCTTGGAAATTACTGGTGTGGCTCACTTTAATTTTGTCCTTTTCCAAGGATACCATCCCATTGAAGTTACTTATAATCTGTTGAAATCCAGTAATCATTATTATGTTGCTTATTCTGAGTTATTGAAAATTGAGGCTTTGCATAGAAAACTTTATAGAAGGGCAGCATTTTTTTCCAATATTCAGAATTTTTGTGTTTGATTACTGCAGTTGCTACTGCTAGGCAGCTAGCCACCTATAACTTGAGTGATACTATCAAATTTTATTTTGTTCTTTACCAGTGTTTGAATTATGTAGTTTTATATTGTATGGTTAAATGCCTGTTAATTGGTTGATACTTTTAACATTTGTATGTGACTCTTCCAATTTGACTAACTGATTGTCTTAGTGATTTTTTTTTTTTTTTGTCAAAATCATATTGGTTTTCATTAACTTGATATCACAAGATTTGATACATCACAATTACTTCCTTTGTAATCATTTTGTGCACTCTCATGGAGCTACATCACAATTTCCTTCCCATTCAATATTCCTAACTAACTTGACAGCAAACTTTGCTAGCATATGCACACTTGTTCCCTACTATATGGACAACAGAGAAAGTACATTTGTCAAACAAGCATCTCATGTTGGCGTTGCCCTCTAGAATGATATCAACTCTAGATTCCTTCCCATTTTCCTTGTTGATCAGGTCCAGCACCTCCTTTCAATCAGACTGGAATTCCAGTTCCTTCCATTGAGCTTCTCGAGCCACCACCATTCCCATTCTAATTGCTGCCACTTCCTCCACCGGTGGCTCACTTGTTTTTATCTCAGCTCTGGCCCAAGCTTTCATCAGCTGTCCTTCTCCATTTCTAGCAATGGCTCCTATTCCACTTTTGTTCATATTCTTTGAGAAGGCAGCATCAGAGTTGATCTTTATCATCTCTCCTATTGGTGGTTTCCAGTTTTCCAGTCTGCTTGAGTTGGTTGTTTGTTCAATGAACTCTGGCCCTGTGCTGTTCTGAGCTTCTATATACTCATTCCACTCTACTTGAGCTTTTGCACTGTTTTCCCTGGATCTGCTTTTTCTTCAGCAAAAACTTTCCTGTTCCTTGCTTTCCAGATTTGCCACAAAATATTTACAGTGTTACGTGATCCTGTCCTTTTGTCTCTCATCCTAGCTCCTAAATATCCCTTTCCACCATCTTACAAAGTTGCTTCTCATGTCATTCAACCCGTCCCATTGCAGAGGTGCTAATTTCGAAGTGGTTTCAGCATTTTTGCAGAAAAACAGCATGTGTTTGACTGTTTCCACTACTTCCCCACAACATTCACACATCGGACTTCTTCTTCCTATCCTCTTGTTTATCTGCTCATTCACTGGTATACTATGGTGCAGGCATCTCTAGATGAAATGTTTGAGTTGTGTTTCATCTGCTGGGATCACACTCCTTTCCAGATGTTCGATATCTTTTGAGCATTTCTAGTGCTTTCTTTATTCTCTTCCCTCCTTGTCATCTGCTGTTGTAGATGTTCTTCCATTGCTACAGCATAGGCTGACTTTACAGTAAAGAGCCCAGACTTTGTGCATCTCCAATACATTCTGTCTTTGCAGCCTGTTATACTTATAGGGATAGCCATGATTTTCTGGATATCTTCTGCTATGAACCATCTTTTGAGTATCTCCTGGTTCCATTCTCTTTCTCTCATCAGCTCTGCTGTTGTCCTGATTGTGCATTCTGGATTCCTTCTAGTTTTGATCTTACCATCTGCACTACCTGGAATCCACTTGTCATGCCAGATGTCAATGGTTTCTCGATCTCCCACTTTTTTCCATAGTCATTTGTTCAACAGCTTCCTAGTTCCCATTAGACTCTTCCATATCCAAGAAGATGCTTTTGGAGGGTCTTTATCCCAATCTTGTGCTCTTCCTAGATACTTTGACCTCATCACCCTACTTACAAGTAGGTTTGGTTGTGTGAGCATCCTCCAAAGCTGCTTGGCTAAGAAGGCATCATTGAATTTCTCTATATCTCTAACTCCCAGTCCCCCTCTTCCTTTCACATGAGACATCTTTTCCCAGCTAGTCCAGTGCATCCTCCTTTTGCTTTCTCCATTGCCCCACCAGAACTTTGCTACCATTTTACCTACATCTTTGCACAGTACTTTTGGGAGTTTGAAACAAGACATGGTATAGGTAGGAAGTGCCATTGCCACAGATTTTATAAGTACCGCTTTTCTTGCTGGGCTCAGCAAATGCCTCTTCCATCCTTGCAGCTTGTCTTGTACCTTTGCTTTGATGTATCCAAAAACTTGTTGCTTGGATCTCCCTATCAGCATAGGTACTTAGGTAGTCCCAGGTACTTCCCGCTTGTAGCTTCCTTCATATTCCCCAACTAAGAACGTATTTCCTTTATCAGATTCCTGCACGTGTTTGCACTAAAGAAAACAGCAGATTTCTCATAGTTTATTACTTGCCTTGAAGCCTCATAGATAGCAAACATCTGTTTCATTTGCTGACCTTCCTGAATACTGGCTTTACGATTGTCTTAGTGATTTGCTTCTTCTTTCGAATTTCATTTTATGTTTTTGAGATCAAAGAGTAGCTTTTGTTTTAAAAACTTGAAAATGAGAAAAAAAAAAAAAAAAAAGAAAAAGAGGGATTTTACACTAAATTCCAATGTGTATGATCAACTACTTGATGATGTTTTGGATGCTAGAGCTTTTACATACTGCAATGACAATTCAGACAAATTAAAGTGAACTTCATATATTTAACATGAGGCCAGCTAATCTCAGGCTTCAGAATTCACGATAATTGTCTGAATTTAATGAATAGTTACATAGGTGAAAATCATATTTAACATTTTGCTATAATTATTGAACCCAATAAGAGTGAATCTGTTAGTAGTATGGTGGTATCATGAAAGAGGCTGAAAATATTCATGTGGTTTTTGGAGAATAGTCATTGGCTTTCGATTCTAACAGAATGAGTCAATAATGGATATTCCATTCAATCAGATAAAATAATTTTCCAAGGACTTACTTCGGTTATGATAGATTGTGACATAGGATACATTAATCTAATAAGGCAATTTTCTTTATCAAATTCGAGGTAAAATGTCACGACATAAAGTATTAAGTGCTTGATGCCAATAAAGGATGGGACAGTGTTGGTCCAAATTATTGCAAGAGGACACACTTAGCTAAGCTGTGGTAGTTTTACATTGTATGACTAAATGCCTGTTAATCGGATAGTACTCTTTAACATTGACTAACTGATTGTCTTAGTGATTGGCTTCTTTGGAATTTCATTTTATGTTTTTTAGATCAAAAGTAGTTTCTTATTTAAAATGAACATTTAATGGTTCTTCATTACCCCCAAAGATGTCCATTGGCCTAAAATGGTTTTTAACCATTTGCATTATACACTCAAAGCAATTCAACAACCAAATCATCCTTTTTTGGGTAAGGATTAAAGTTTAAGTTGGCTACAGGAAGTAAATCATGTTCTGAATATCAAGCATATTTTATGTAGCGGGCAGTTTCAGGTCATTATCCTCAAAGATGTCCATTAGCCCGAACTGGTTTTATCCATTCGCAGTTCTTCATTACCCCAAAGATGTCCATTGGCCTGAAATAGTTTTTATCCATTTGCATATACACTCAAAGCAATTCAACAAACAAATCATCCTTTTTGGGCAAGGATTAAAGTTTCAGTTGGCTATAGTACGTTACCGCCAGAAATAATGAAACATTATGTCTGAAAACTAAGATAGAATAAAATACAAACACAAAAACAGATTAGCCTTTTATTTCTGTTTTTAGGACTAAGGTAAAATTTGCCAATCATGATTTCGTTCCCCACCAATATCAGTAAACTTCTGCATCTCAATTTTCTTTTAAATACTCAAAACATGCAATATATGTTATCCCTGCAACCAACTAACAACAAAAAAGAACCTCAGGCTGCTATTAGCATTGACCAACTAATCTCCACGCAGGTAGGGAGGTATGGCTAAAGGGCGCTTCACAGTCATCGTGATTGTATTGGTTATGGTTGTATCTGTTTACATCTCCAGCTGCAAGGACACAAGAAATTGAGCAACGTTCATGGAAACGGGTATTATGTTTATTGCAACCATGTCCAAGACAAGACTGGAGCATATAAAAGGATAAACATTCATCGCATCAGTACCCATTCAGAGTCAATCCAGGTACTTCATTCATGTGGAGGTAGGTATATATGTAGAGATTGTGGAAGTGTGGGTACATAAAACGAATATAGTTTTGACTGAGTATGGTAAAAATGTAACCAAAATCACAATGAATTTCCAAAGCTCCAAACAAACGAAACACTGGCCACAGGACTTCTGACTGCAATTTATAATTAATGTATATGCTTTAGTAGGATCACAACATTTCAGTTTTAATGAATGGTTTGTAGTACGATGAATGAAAACAGGGGACATCAAGTTTTCCTTTCTTCAATGAAATTTTGTACACACTCACAATAACATGTAAACAACATAATCAAGTCATTAGAACCTCAAAATTTTGCACAAAAGTGGTCGGATAAGGCAGGGGTAAAATCGGAAACTTTTGCCTCTTGCACCCAATGAAATTTCTATCAATTACACACCATTAATCCATCATTTTAACCACTAAACCAACAATATATCCACCATCAATCATCAAATCAGCAACAACCCAAGTGTGGAAATCCATAGAGCCCACTTTCACATTTTTCCAACAATATCAAGATACCCATACACATGCAATAGCTTAAGGATGCATTTCTACCATCATAAACCAAACTTAAGGTGTAGGATGAGGTTATACCTCCTTGTTGCTTTAAACCAGAAATTTCGGTCCTCAAGATGCTCCAAGAAACCGTGAGAAACTCCTCCTTTTTCTAGCTAGATGATCTCTCCACGTGACAAGCTAAGTGTAGTTCAAATTTGGTGTGAATCCATGAAGTTTTTGTGCAAGAATTGAAGATGAAAATGGCAACTTTGTGTTGTGTTTTTGCTGCAGAGAATTCGGCCAAGAGAGAGACTAAGAGAGAGAGTGTTTGGTCTAAATTTAGCTTCTTAAGGAAGACACAATGTGTGGTGCAAAAATCATCCCCAAAGTCAACTCTCACTAGGGTGCGTTTGGGCGCGTTTCGGCTCGATTTCTCGCGCGTTTGGTTCACTAGTGCACTAAACCTCTAATGCACTTATATTCATGTAGATAATATTCACTCTTAATTATCCCGAAATAAGGGTCTAAGGTCCCTCAAATAAAGTCACGCGTGTGGAAACGTGTACCGTCAATTTTATCGCTATAACGCGAAACCTCCGAGAAATTCTTATAACGTCCGTACTACTAACCATCACTTGAGTATTTAAACATTAAAATTCCTATTTTAAGACTAAGGCACGTATCTCCAATTTTTCTGAGCTCAGTGTATCCTCAAATCGGCTATCGTTCCAAATGCACGTGCACTATTTCACTTATCGGGCTTTCGGAAATTAATTTTTGAAACAAGTCATTTTAAAAATATAATGAAACTATATTTTCATATAATTAGGTCTCAAGAGCTTAGAAAATAATATTCAGAGTAAAAGACCAAATAAATAATTAAATAAGCTAGAAATAGGAGATTAAATAAGTAAATTTTGCGAGTCCTCACACGATACGCTAAGCGACGTCAAATCTGTCTTTTATTTTATGACTTAAACTTCATTTCCGGACATTTTCCTAACTTGATTTTGTACTTGTACAACATCGAGCCTATTGAACGGCTATTGAAATGAAATTATTTTGTGTGTGACTTTGGGACTGATTAAGGAAAAGAATGTAGCCATAAATGGCTAGAAAATAGGTAAACACAAGGGGCATGCCGCCCAAAGTTTCACTAGAAGTATAAAACGGCCTTTGGAGTTCTGGTTCGATAATCTGCAAATTTGACTTGGATACACTGAAAACTGGGTTGAGGTGTCTTCATAAAAGTTGTAACCCTTTGTCTAAGCTTCAAGACACTACCTGGTACATTTTGATCCGATAACCACAGCTTCAGTTATGGTTAAAATCGTGTAATCCGTTTTGTACCATTTTCATTTCTGCGCACGCGCGCATGCATTCCTTTGCCGTTTTACCGCTTTGATCATTTTAATCCTTATTTTCATTTCTGATGATCGATTCACTGATAGTTGAGTATAATCTTCGGTCACAGGCAGTGACGAATCGGACAGAGTCAGTGGACCCGTATAAAGTGCCTTAATTTACAAGCTAACTCTTTTGAGTGAGTAATTGGGTTGTTTATTGATATGAAATTGTCAAAGTGCTTTGTATATGTTAAATGGGTATTTAGGCGAGAGTGTACTTTATCTTACTCGATCTAAACTCATCCTTTAGTTTGATTTCATATGTGAAAATACATGCCTTATGTTGAATATCACCCTTTTGCTGTGTGCTGATGGGGGTGTTTACATGACTTGAGTTGAACTCCTTTTTGTTGTGTGCAATTGGGATAAGTACTTTATTGAGAGATATCATTTATTGAGAGATTGGATATCTCAGGGTTTGGTTCCAATCCGGTTCCAAGGATAGACGAACTATTCGAGCCAGCCGGGGTTTGGTCGAAATTAGTTCCATGTTAACCTTGGGATTTCGCTCTTTGTTAAAGCTTTGATTAAAGTTAAGTGATTTTGTTTCGCTCGAACTGCTGTGTGCTGTTGACTGGCCAGCGGGGATTGTAGACACCAAATTTTTAATTTATTTTAATTTACTATTATTTTTATTTTCATTATTATTCATTTTTTAGTCTCTTAGTTTTTATTTTAAGACATTTTTAGTATTTAAATTTTAGAAAAAGAAAATTTCCATAAAAAGTTGTTTTAATCATTTTGGATTCAATTTGAAAAATATACATAATTTTGTTTCTTTACTTAAATTAATTTTTTTGAAAGAAAAAATACAAAAAAAATAATAAGGAAAAATGTGTGAGTAGGTGTAAGTTTGTATGTGGGACAAGTGTCCCTTTGTGTTTTTTACAACACAACACCTAGAAGGTGAGGTGTTGGGACACTTGGTTGGCTTAGGTAATTTTGGGGAAATAAAAATCAAATAAGAAAGAGAAAAAGCGAGGGGCAAGAAAAAAGCAATAGAGAGGGTAGGAGTTGGCGGCTGGGGGTGAGGAGAAAAAACGAAGAAAGAAACAGAAAAGAAAGAGCTTGGCTGAGAGGAAAAAAGAAATGACGGCTAAGGCAGAAAAGCAATAGAGCGGGCGATTGAGGAAGACAAGCTAAGGAGGAAAAATGAGAGGTCATCGGCTGGGTAAGGGAGCCAATGTGAGGACTCGAAAATTCTATTATTTTAAAATCCCTAATTTTGGCTAAATTAATTATCTATTTGAATTCTTGCTACGAATAATACTTTTCTAGCCTTATTAGACCTAAGTACATGGTTTTATAGTTTCATTATATTTTTAAAGTGTCTCGTTTCAAAAAAAAATTATTATTTTCTTAAAAGCCTAATTAGTGAAAAAAGTGAAAACGTGTCTGAAAACTTTAGCCAATTGGGAGTACAATTAGCTCGAAAATTCGGAGACATGTACAGTGGTCCTGAAATAGGCAATTTTAGGTTTAAAGACTCAAGTGATAGTTAGTGGTACGATCGTTATAAGAATTTCTCGAAAGTTTCATTTTATTACGCATAAATTGGAAATATGTGTGTTCACGTGCGCACTTAATTGAGGGACTTTGGGCCATTATTTTGGGACAATTAAGAATGAATAATATTTATATGAATGTAAGTGCCCTAGAGGTTTAGTGCACTAGTGCAACGAATTTAAGAGAAACCGAGCACAAAACGCGCGCGTAGGCACACTATTTGCAATTAATTCTTTTCCGCACTTAAACTATTAGACGAGTAGCGTTCCTTATACGCCAAAGTGTCAGATTAACAATTCATTTCTCCAAACTCCATGGCCGGCTAGCAATTGCAGAAACAACCGAAAACTTTTCCAACATTTCCTCTACAAACTCACTCAAATCACCACCAAACCTTCATAGATTCACCACACAAGTTCAAGGCAACTTGGACAATCACTTGGACAAAGAAGGAGCTGCACATTCACGGATTTTATTGGGGCTTTTGGGACACCAAAATCTGACCTTTTAGCACACAAGTAAGGTAACCATGATCCACTCTTCAATTCTTGTTCAATGAAGGCCAACTCACACTTAAGAGCTTGATTATGCTTATGGGTAGCTTATTATTGTTGGAAATTATTAAATGTGGGCTCTATGAACTCCCACTTTGAGTTGATGGCTGTGATGATGGTTTTACTGTTGAATTAGTGCTTAAGGAAGTAGATTAAAGGTGCATTATTGCCAGAAACTTCATTGAGCTCTTGAAGCAAAAAGTTCCGATTTTGCCCCTACCTCTCCGGTTATTTTAAGGCCAATTTTTGAAGATCTGATGGCTTGAATATGATGTTTATATGTTCTAGTAGTTGTGTAAAAATGTTCATTGAAA